ATCCTTGCCCAGGCACCAGGCTAATCTTTTTGCTTATGTTCCAATTTCAGCGAATGTGCTGCCAAGGTGAGCACCCAGCCAATCTTCTCACTTATAGAACTGGGAGATGATAAATGGGTGTTGTTTTTAGCTGCTAAGTATGTGGTGATTTGTTATGCAGAAATAGAAAAATTACATCCTAACCATTGAAAATTATTGAAAGATTTAAGTGAGATGAGGCACATACAGTATATAGGATTTAAGTGAGGTGATGTACCTGGTAGCTGGACAGTGCTAATAAATGCATTAGCTGGTATTGATACCACTGGCTCCTGTCCCCACCCAGTAAAAACAGTTGGAAGTGACTTTCAACCTGAAAACCTGTGCTATAAATAAGGTTTGCCACATCCAAGAGATTTCACAGGAGGTCCCTCAGGAACTCTTTCGTTTATTCATTCATTGTGAGCACCTATGTGCCAGACACCCATCTCAGGACATGACAGTTGTCAGGTTCCCAAGGGATTCACAAATGGGTGAAGGACATGAAGAACAGGATGTGATTGCCTGAGGTTCCAGGGAGAGCATCCTCCTGGACATATCAGTCCCCGGCCCTGCCACTTCTCACTGGAGGACCAGGCTGGGACTACAGAGACAAGATTCTCTACCCACTCTAGGCTGGAGCAATGCTCAAAAGGACACTCCTTCCATGTCCTGTCTGGTTAAGAGCAGACTTCCCAGCCACTGCCGTCTCCTCTCTGCATACCCTCCTAGACAAAGAGGTATCTCTCTTAGATTCAGGGCTGACCCCTTCTCAGATCTTCTACTCCCTCATGTAAACACACCCAGACTTCTCCTGCTAAAAAGGACCAACTTTTAATGAAGCCATTGAACTTAATATCACCTAGAGTGGGACAAGCTTATGTTCTAGACTTCCAGTTAGGACACACTGGAAAATACACATACCTATGGAATATTCTTGACAAAATTGAAACCTCATTGTGATGAATTAATCATTCCAATTCAGACTGTAGAACGCTTGTACAAAATGACAGATTTTTTAAGTTGTCATGCTCATGAAAGACACACACACACACAAATCTAGAAGACTTTTCTAGGTTACAGCTGACTGCAGGAGATATGACAACCAAACGCAATAAATGATTGGATTTTAGAATTTTTAAAGCCTATAAAGAGAAAATAGAGCTGGTGTGGTGACTCATACCTCTAATCCCAGCACTTTGGGAGACAAAGGTGGGAGGATTGCTTGAACATAGGAGTTCAAAACCAGCCTGGGCAACATAGCAAGACCCTGTCTCTACAAAAAAAATCTAAAAATTAGCCAGGCATGATGACACCTATAGTCCCAGTTACTTGAGTCTGAGGGAGGAGGATTACTTGAGCTCAGGAGTTTGAGGTTGCAATGAGCTATGCATTCCAGCCAGGGGGTGGGGTGGGGGAGAGAGAGAGAGATAAAGGGGGGGGGGGTAGAGATAGATACTATCTCAAAAAAAGAAGAAAAGTTTTTTATAAAGACAGGGTTCTGCTATGTTGTTCATGCTAGCCTCAAACTCCTAGACTCAAGTAATGCTCCTGCCTCCCAAATTGCTGAGATTACAAGCATGAGACACCACACCTGGCCTGTAATGACATTTTTGTAACTATTGACTGCATATACAGTGGTGGTCCCATAAGATTATTATGCTGTACTTTTATAGTAGCTTTTCTACATTTAGATATGTTTAGTTACGAATACTTCCCATTGTGTTCTGGTTGCCTATCATATTCAGTACAGTAACATGCTACATAGGCCTGTATCCTAGGAGCAATAGGCTAGATCACATACCCTAGATATGTCATAAGCTGTAGGCTGTACCTTGTAGGTTTATATGATGGTCACACAATGACAAAGTCACCTAGGGATCTATATCTCAGAAAGTATCCCTGTCGTTAAGTGATGCGTGACTGTAT